GGTTACCTATACTAGAATGATAGACCGTACTCGATTACCCCAACATTGGTACAGGTAACCAAGGGCTTATCTTTGAGAATAGTGAAGAAAATGGGCAAATGAATCCTGTAATCCCATTGGTTCATTTTTGTATCACTTCGGAGGTTGAAATACAGGCATAAAGTACTCCACTAGAAGTACAAGTACAAGTACAAGTATTTTCTGGCAAGTACAAGTGGAAGTACAGGTATATCCATGCACGTACAAGTACTTGTACGTGTACTTGTCCTACCTCTGTTTAAGAACCTAACGAAAGAGTTTTCACTGATTAGTTATTTTTCTGAAACTTTTTCTTGATCCTTACTTCCTGGAAACGACGTTTTCTCGTTATTTTCTAATGATCTCTGATATTCCTTCGTAGATGTTCTCGGATCAAGTAGATTTTTCGAACCTATTTGTCTTTTATTTCAGGCTCTCTGTGCATTATTGATGGATGGCTCTGTTTCAGAGATTGTCATAAGTCAGTTCGCTTATTATATGTGATTTATTAACTAGATAATATATTCCATCGAGAATGATGTTTTGTGAGAAGAAGTCAGTTTATCAAGTTTTTCGCATCATATGAACGTGAATTTATTTCTTGCAATCATGTGTGATTATGATTGTTTTTAGATAGAGAAAGCAGAATTGTTGTGTCAAAGCAAAGTTAATTAGAAAAATAAATAATCAATAGAGCATTAGTCTTTGTATTTAAGATTAAAATCGTTGTTCAAGTTTCTTAAATCTTGTCCAAAATAATTGATCAAAAGTGAGAAAAATGTTCATTGATGAGTTAATCGTCGTGTAAAGCAACGTTTAAGTGTATCTTTAAATATTTTTCGATATAGTTTTGAAGGAAGGACAAAAATAACGAAGATAAGAATTGATGGAACGAATGAAATGAAATAAACACTAAGAAATAACCATGGATAATGTGATGGATTCAAACATTCAGATAAGAATGAAGCAACCAGACGTGGTGAAGAAAGAACAACTAAAATAATTCGACTTATTACTAATTGTTTATGCTCATGAAACTGTTGAACAATATGTTCTTTATATTTTTGTCGATTTTGAGCTGTTGATCGTTGACGAGCTGTTCTAAAGATGATCATTACAGCAGACAAAATATTGATAATAAATGGACCAAGAAGATGAAAGAATAAAATCGATGTATCGTAACTCTGTAATGAAGCAGAATAACGAGTCAAACACACTATACGTCTTTTCTTTTCAACAAAATCTAAATTGGTATCGTTTTGGTTGTATTCCTCTAGCATTCGATAAAGAAATTCATGTAGAAGTGTACCTAGACATGTCGCAATACCAATACTCTTGGGAATTGGGTATTGATATTGGGCAGGTGTTGACGGTATTGAAGGTATTGGTATTGATTAGTATTGATCAATACTTTGTCAATTTCTACAGCCATTTTCAATTATGTCGAGTGCCGTGGATAGCGCCGCTCCATATNTCATGGCAGCTTGCACTCAAAAATTTTGCTTGAAACAATGTATTTTGCTTGAATTTGCTTGAGATTATATGATTTTTAGCTTTTTTAAGTTGAAAATCTTTGATTTTAATCTTTTTTAAGTTTTTAGCCATTTGATAACGAACTTTAGTAGGTTCGAAACCGGTCATGGCAATTACTACACACCCTCACCCACACCCTCAAAATGAACGATCGGACGGATTAAATAGTCGAAAATTTCTTATTGGTATGGTGGCGTTTACAAAGATCACCAGTGTGATAATATGAAGCACTGACATCTTTCGAGATTTTAATATTCAGAGTTTAAGTTTTTCGGGGTAAAAATTTTCGGACATTTGCTTTTTCGATATTTGAAATTTCGAAATATTTTATTTCGAGATTTTTTTTCGGGCTTTTTACAGCAATTCGAAGAAACTATCTATATCTTTACTCATACTTTCACATAAAATTCTATATTGAAATAAATTTTCTTTTAATAAATAGTAATTGTTTATCTACATGACAGAAACATTTTTCTAACATTTAAATATCATCATGTCAGGCAAAAAAAATTTATATGTCATGTGTAAGATAATAATGAAATATACATTCGAATATATATAGATAAAAATGTAAAGAAAGTAATATAACAAAGCATTTTTCATTTTTTTCCATTAATGTTACTAGTAAAATTCTTTCTTTTTATTATTTATCTCATCACAATAATAAAATCGCAAAATGAATGTCTTGAAAATTCTATCTTCACTTGCTATTGTGAATATAATGGTGGCACAACGTCAGCTAGTTGTACACAAAATGTTCCAAGTAACGAAACTTCTATTGATTGGTCAACATTTTCATTAATTCCACTTCAACGTCATAAATTTAATTTTAATAATTTTTTACGTTTAACACCTTCAACATTTACAAATTTTACATCAAAATTCTCTGGTCTTGATCATTTAGAATTTATATTTACAGACGGAATCGATGAAATAGAAGAAAATACATTTGAATCATTCCAAATCTATTCCGATACATGGATTTATTTGACATTTTTGTCACCAAGAAATTTTCGACTTGCAAATAATGTTTTCAGTCAAATAAAATATCAAGAATTAATAATAGATAATATTCAATATAACGATATTTTTCATCTTCCATATCAATTAAATATAAACGCATTTGATAAAACAGTTATATCAAAAGTTAGTATTAGAAATTCCAATGAAATTCAATTAATTTCAAATGAATCATCATCTTTTCAATGGGAGGACGTTGAAATAACAGAATGTTCATTATCAAATGTTGATCTTCTGATTGAAAGTCTTACTTCAAATTCATTACGAACATTAGATTTATCATTAAATAAATTAAATTCTATTTCATCTTTAATTAAATTTACTAAATTAACTATTCTTAATTTAAATAATAATTTAATTAAAGAAATTCAATCAAATATTTTTACAAATTTAATTAATTTATTTGAAATTGATTTATCATATAATGAAATAAAACATATTTCATCAGATGCATTTATTGGTTTAGTTAATTTAAATGTTTTAAAATTAAATAATAATCATTTAAATTCATTAGAAACTGTAAATATTCATAATGAAATCGAATCATTCTTATCACCATTAAATGAGACCTTGCCTACATTAATTTTATCAAATAATTTTCTTCAGAATATTAATTCAATACAAAATCTTTCATCATTAATGTCATTAGAAGTATGTTGTAATCAAATTAAAAAATTAGATGAATTTATATTTAAAGAAACACATGAACTTCAATCAGTTGATTTAAGTTTTAATCATATTGAATCAATTCATCCATTAACATTTAATGGAACGATTATAGAATATCTTGATTTATCATCAAATCCATTTATTTCTTTAGAAATAACAAATATTATATATGATGAACAATTTAAACCTAAAAATCAAACAACTTCATTTCTGGATAGTATTAAATCAAGACTTATCTCATTATCATTAGCTAATTGTACAAATTTACAAGAAATAAATTGGTTTGTTTTATCCAAATTAGAAAAACTTACATATTTAGATCTTTCTGGAATAACGAAAACAGATCAATTTTGGACTTATAATACAAGAGATGATACACATATTTATTGGTATGGACATTTTTCAAAACTTCAAATAATTTTCAATAATATTCAATTTAATAATGACGATTATTGTTTTTCGAAATCAATCTTTCAAATATTTAATGAAACTGTTTTACATTTTGATGATGATCATCCATGTAATTGTTTTTTATTTCTCGTTAAAAAATTGATTTTTCCTACATATTATCCAACTTGTTTAACAAATCAATCAATTATCGATGAATTAACTCAACAATGTATGAATATCGATTCATATTGTTTATCTCTAATCACTACTACAACTACAACTACAACATTATCGTCATCAAATACAAGTTTTTTAACTTTAACGACTATTTTGACATCGATTCCAATTACAACGGCATCAGAACTATCATCAGCATCAACGACGACTACAACAACACAAATCATTCAATCATCAACATCAACCACGACTACAACAACACAAATAATTCAATCATCAACATCAACCACGACTACAACAACACAGATAATTCAATCATCAACATCAACTAGAAGAATTACAACAACGAATATTGTTACTACATTAAGAGTAGAAACGAATAATGGAAAATGGAAAACAATATTAGCAATCATGATACCTTCTGTATTTATTCTTATTATTTTGTCTTTAATTGGTATTTATATTATGAATAGAAGACAAAAAAACAAATCAAACGAAATTATTGAAATGGATAGAGTATTTGTGAATCCATTTGTGAAAAAATAATTTTCCTCATGCTTTATACCATTTAATACTTAGATAACGGAATAAATTCTTTTCGATCTCTGTAATGATATTACTTATAAATCAATTACTGCCGGAGCCAAATTTTTTCCCCTTTCTTGTTTTTCTTCCTTTTTGCACCTATACTTCATTTATTTTTTAATCTTTTATATATAGAAAGAAAGCCTGAAACACGCCGCATCTTATGATATATTTAGTTTTCATAACAAATCCAGACGTAAGGGAAGTTGGCACCCGATTCGAATTTTTTCATTGTCGATTCGTCTAGGAACGTGTTCCAACTGTTTCAATCGTGTTCCAAGTAGAACTCGACGAGATCTATCGAATGATGCCAAGAAAGTCTCTGTAGGTCGAACCAGGCCAGAGAAAACTGCAAAATATAGGGTTTTAACATGGAAATTATAGGATCTTGGGATAAATCCTTCGCCGATTCGCCTAGGAACATGTTCCAACTGTTCCAATAGAGTTCCAAGTAGANAACTCGACGAGATCTATCGAATGATGCCAAGAAAGTCTCTGTAGGTCGAACCAGGCCAGAGAAAACTGCAAAATATAAGGTTGTACTATGGGATCTGCAGGATCCGGGGAGTAGTTTCTTTATGAACTCTTCCAAAAACATATTCTAACCAGTATTCGAAGTAAAACTTGTTCAGTAATATCGAATGGCATAACTTCGTGTGATTCATTGAATATGACAACATTTAGTATTGAACGTATGTAAAGTTGGCACGATATTCGAGTTATTTCTGCCAATATTCACTTGAGTACCTGTGTTGGTCTTTTAAAAGGTTGTGTTGGATGCAGAATTGAATTCTCTGTCGAATGATGTAGTTTTCAATAGGGGCGATGGACGAAAAACTAGGGACTTCATTCAAAATACGTTTCGATAGCACCAGTACATGTGTGATGTTCCGCGAATTAGTACTTCTAATTAATATTTTCTCTTTGTATTTACATAGATAGTTGTGTACTTGTTTAGAATAGTCTTGTTCGACGAAGGATTTGATTCTGTCAGAAGTAAGAGAGAAATAAAGAGAACTGAGAGAGAAACAGATAGACACAAGAGTGATATAGAGAGATCGAGATAAACTAGAGAGGAATACAAAAGAAAATAAGGGGTGCTTTACCTCTTTGCTACCACACAAGTATTTTGGAACTCTCAGTGTATGATCGAGAAATATACATCGCTGAGAATTGTATACTATGAACTTCGATCGAAGAGGTTCTCACCTGGGATATTGATGATCTTCCTTATGCTAAGCCCACTAAATTTGGTACTGCCCGATGCAGAATCAGATGCTGCATCGAACAAGACTATTCTGAACGACAACACAAGTATCTAAGTAAATCTGAAGAGAAAATATTAATTAGCAGTGCTAATTAGCAGAACATCTCACATGTACTGGTGCATCCAAAAAGTATTTTGGATGAAGTCCCTAGTTTTTCATCGGTGACCCCTATTGAAAAATACACCATTCGATAGAGCTCGTCGAGTTCTACTTGGAACTCTATTGGAACAGTTGGAACATGTTCCTAGGCGAATCGGCGAAGGATTTATCCCAAGATCCTATAATTTCCATGTTAAAACCCTATATTTTGCAGTTTTCTCTGGCCTGGTTCGACCTACAGAGACTTTCTTGGCATCATTCGATAGATCTCGTCGAGTTCTACTTGGAACACGATTGAAACAGTTGGAACACGTTCCTAGACGAATCGGCAATGAAAAAAATTGAATCGGGTGCCAACTTCCCTTACGTAATAGCGTAGCAGTTTTTGGTTTGCATGTATCTCGGCTTAGGTAAATGATAAAGTCTTGCATTTTTTTCCAAAAGATGCGCCGTGAAAAGCTCTCTAAATGCGGCATAATACAATTTCATTATAACTTGTTTAAATAGTTTTCTTATACTCAAAATAAACAATTTACAGGATAATGTCATCTCTCTGATCATATTGAAAACGTTTAGAAGACTTTTTTGATTGGCTAAAGAAATGAATCCGTAGAGATTTTGTAAGACTTTTAGCGGCACCTGTTTTCAAATGAAATTCAATGTTCTATCATGTTCTCGGCTGGAGATATATAAAGAAGGGTGGGTGTGAGAGTGGGGTGAGGGTGTGAGTATCATTGAACACAGAGTTGTCGTAATCTCATCCATGGATATTTGAAACTTAAACCTTTTGATTAAATAGTTTAAATACAAAAAGAGGAAAGAGATCCGATACACTTTGATTGAACTCATCTTTTTATAATCTTGAAGGTGTCAGTTCGGATACTCTTCTGAAATAAATTTCACCACCCACAAGATCTCGATTTGGGAAGAGCTCCATAGTCGAGCAAGAGCCCATTTGATCTTATCGAACTCTATCCTCACCTTCACTCTCATCTCTTAAGCACGTAAATGACAGTTCGGTTTCGTTTAAGTTTGTCTTTATTCTCAAGATAATAATAGAAAAAAGTTTACATATTCTTTCCGAACGATTAGATAGTTAAATGAATGGTACATTTTCTCGCAGTTTTATCATATTCAACGCTAATAATAGTAAAGTTAATCCCAGCAGGAAGTAAAACTTCTGCTTCTTTTTTAATTGCTGATAGGGATGATATGTCCAAACCAAATGATTCTGTAAATGGACGATCAATAATATCGATAATAAATACTGTGCATACTTCATCAGGATCTAATGAAGCTGTAAATGTATTTGTTACTTCCGGTTTCTTTGTAGTTGAAGAAAAAGCTGACCAACATCGTATTTGTCCAATAGCTGATTTATACTGTTCGATATGTTGGATTTTACATCTCCCACCACGATAAACACGTTGTTGTGTTTGTTTATTTGTTTCACGACAATTCCAAAGAGAATTTTGAAGAAGAAAACAATAAGGACCTAGTGTCTTTAATTTTGATTGATCTTCATTTCGTAATGTATAATTCAAAACAAGATAAAGAAAACATTCAACTGTATAAATATAAATACAATATTTACCAATATCTGATAAACTCTGATTTTTCATTTCACGTAATTTCTTAGCAAATTCAATGCCTTTTTTTCTGTCATATTGTTCTTCACATAATTGACTTTCTTGTTCTATTCCATCAGCTGCTAATTCAAGAATTTTCGATACGTTTTCTTTTGTTAACATATAAGAAGAATTATTATATTGATTAGCCCAATCGAAAATAAACTTTGAGAATCCACTTCCTTCGAGAAATGTTTTCGAAGGTAATTCAATAGGATTAAAACGTTGTGCACGTGGAGCAAATGATTCCGTTGATTCGACATTTTGACGACGAATTGGTCGTTGACGATTTTTATCCAACATATGTGTTTGCACTTTATGTTTCAAATCAATTTTGTAATTATTTCCTATGATAATTTCAGTTTTATTTTGTTGATAAGCTTGTTCAATTATTTCATTGTCAACATCAGAAAACGGTGACCATTCTTCTGGTTCATTTTTCGACCAAGGATTTGAATTGGATTTCCAAAATCAATAAATTGGAGATGTTGCCGCCATATTTTAATTATCAATGGTATTCTTACAATTTCTATAGTAGAAAAAATGCCGTATAGTTGAAGTTTTGTCAAATTATGAGTGTGGGTGAAGTTATTTTGTGCTTTCTTTTCACCAGTTAGCATTTTTATTTGTAAAAATCAATATCTATTGGTTAATCGTACTCTGTTCTAACTTTTGCTCTAAGTATCGTGGTTCTCTATGTAAAAGTGCGATTCTTAAATCCTTTTAAACAAACTAGCTTTCTCTGTGCCCCGCAATCGTCGCTATCTCATACAAACCAAATGTAAAGAAAAAATACATCTAATTGTGAGAATAAGAAACATAAAATAATATATAAGAACACTTGTGTTTTTTTCTACCTTTCTCATTGCACAATTGAAGAATAATAAAAAGCGTTATCGTGCACAAATAAAAAAGTATTTTTCATTCGTAATTCTTTCTATTTCTTATAAACCGTTTGTCTACTTATTCGATACGAAACACGATGACAACTCGTCGTGATGAAACAACACGAAAAACTGTTTGGTATTGGCAATCTAATTCAAATCCTTTTTCTACAACTGAAGAAAAACAATGGACAAGATACAATCAGAATGAAGTTCAATGTATTGAAGAAGCTTATACAAATAATGCTAAAAAAGTAGAAATTAATCAAATTTATTTTATTGATCTAAAAAAAATGTTACAAATCAGTAAATATGATAAAAATAAACAAAGACCAATCAAGAGAGAGATTGAAGACATGGAACAACAAGTAACGTTTCCGTCTGTGAAACCAGATCTCGGTGCACCTGGCGAAAAACTTAAATTTGTCACCGAATGGGTTACCGAAAATAATATTGGATCACATTATTTTAATGAACAAAATGCTGAAGAAACAGTTTTGCAAGCAGCAAAAGGGATCGAAATGGAAGGAAGATTAGTAGGAAGAGAAGAAGAAGGTATCAGATTATCGAAAAAATTGCAAGACGTAAAAGATTCTTCTTTACTAAAAATAAGTAAAATTTGCGTGCTTGTCTATACCATAGACAGTTTTCTCTATAAAATGGTGAATAAATGTTTAAGGGAAGATGATATGAATAAAATGAATACATTAGGTCCATATTGTTTCTTATTGATCAATGCTTTATGGATGTTGCGTCGTAATGAAAACGTTACTCTGTACAGAGGACTTACCTTAGACGAAGAATCATTGAGCAATTACAAAGCTAGTATAGGGAAACAATTCAGTTGGAAAACTTTTACGTCAACAACAAGAGATCGATCAATAGCTGAACATTTTGGTAATACAATGTTCATTATATCAGTTGTTCAAATGCCTTTTAAACCAGCATATTGGACTCCTATATCAGAATATTCCGAATTCCAATACGAAGATGAGGTATTTTTACCAGCTGCAGTTACTTATATAATCAATGATATCAAATACGATAATGAAACAAAAAAACATATCATCTATGTCACCATTTAAGCGTGCATGCTCGTCTTACTTTTGATTTTTTTATACTTATCCTTTTTTTCCTCAATACTATCAATAAAATATGACTTGTTGAAAATAAATTCACATCATATCCGATGAGAAGAGATACGACTGATGATTTTTTGTATATTATAGATGTTGTTCTACAGAAAGAAATTATCAAGAGAATGTTTTTATAGTGCAACTTCTATTTTGTCTTACAACAAAACAACGAGAGAAAAAATTAAAAAAAGCCCGAAGGTTATACCATGATTGTTAAGTAAAGAAGCAGAATGAAAGAATATAACAAGTAACATTCGTCGAGACTGACTCGCTTGATCCTCGACTGAATTAGTAGCTATATATACAATAATCTGCATTAACGTTTCCTATACAAAAAGATACAAACATGTTCCAGGAAATGATTTTTCGAGGGTGATTCTCATTCATCTCACACCCCCAAGATAATTTCTCAGACAACATTAATTCTAACTGCATCTATAGGTGCAGTTTTTTTATGGGATTTAATTTTGGTATAAATAACTTTTAATATAATGTATCCTTTGAGTTCTAGGGTGAGGGTGGGTGTGATTGAAGACGAAGAAGTTGGAAGAAACAACCCTGAATGTCTTAGTGTCGAAAGATGCTAGTGAAACAAACTAGCTACGACTGTAGTTGCTTTTATTTGTTTAGTTCAGAATAAAAGAAGAATTTGTTTGTTTTCGACCGGTTTCACTTTATTGTAAAAAATAAAGATCTTCAGGAAAAAACAACATCTAGAAGAATAAAAAACTTTAACAACAAGTAACAACTACTACAAAAAACTTCAGAAAAGAAGAAACCGAGGAAGCACGACGACGGAAAAAACCGAGCACCACGGAAACCACCTTTAATCTTCTTTGAGGAGAAGATTATGAATGTTGATGTCGTTGATGTCAACAGGCAAGAAATCACCGAAAGACACAACCGAATCATTCGGCGGACCTAACACCGAATTGGCTCGATCCGAAAGGACCGATTCTGGTGTTGATGATGCTACCGGTGCCGGTGGATGACCTGGCACGGGTGAAACAATCTGAATATCAGATTGTGCGGCCTGTTCGACAGGCTGTCGTCGAAACACCTCTGGTGGTCAAACGTGCGGGGCAGGTGGTACTGGTGGTTTGGGGGGAGGCGGAGCATGAGGGGGTGCATTTGTAGCAATTTTCTTTGCTGCTTTCTTTTTCTCACTTTACGCCTTCCAGTGCGCTAGTTTCTTTCGAACTCGCTCACTCTTCTCCAACTGCGGCAGTCCAGCGTCGGCAGACGTTGACGGCCGGTCATCGCTTGGAGGAGGAGGTGGTGGCGGCGGCATTTTCGAAGTCACTGACTTTGAACTCCTTTCCTTTGCGAGACGCTCAAGACGTCTCTCCTCTTCTCTGATCTGATTCAGATCAGGACCCGAAACCATCCCAGTATGTCGAGGGCCATCCTCGAGCGCTTTATTCAATCCACTCGTATTTCTACGAGGTTGATGAACAGTACTCTTCGGCCTCTCATATGGGGTCGGACGCTTAGCCCGCTCTACCTATTTATTGGTAGATCTGCTGTTTGCTTGAGCAAACGCCGCTATCGACTGGTTCTCCTGCAGATCTTGGTTACTGTAAAACCAGTCACCATATGGAATCCACATGGCCAGACTCGTCTTCTGACACAAGTATAACTTGTAGTTCCCGTGGGAACTACGAACAACAACCGAAGTCGCTATCCATCTTAGCCCTTGGGCTGAGCTATACTCGGCATCCGAGAAGGATGGCGAAGATACCAACTGTGCAACATCCTGATGGATCATTGCAGAAAATGGAACTAGCGCTTTTATACGAGCACCGATTTCATCCCTGCTCTCCAATTGAATGTGCTGTTCAAGAATAAGATCTTGCTTGTCCATGTTAATACTTACAACGAATGTTTGGAAATGTGATTTTCCTTAGTAAAGTAAAAGGCACGACTTAGTATCTGTCTTTACGCATCGCGTGAAGTGACCTATACTACTTTTAAGTCTTTACGCTTATCGTTTTACTAAACAAACGGTGAATTATGGACAATGGATTTTGCACTTGAAATAAGATAATCCATGGATATGGTCATTATTTCTGTTGCTAGCGACCTCTTTATCGAGAGGTGCATAACTAGTGACCTCTATATGAATTTTCATTCTTATAGATTGAACATATGATACAAGAAGGACTCTTCTGAGCAAATTATGAATTTCATAAATATCGAAAGAAGTCTTTCCTTTTAGACTCATCACATAATATTTGAAGGACTTTTCTGAGTAAATTATGGACTCCATAATTCACGAAAGATGTCTCTCTATTATGCGATCGTCTGTATATTATATGATCAGTTTTGAACAGTAATTAAAACTTTTGACGGCTTTTTCTTTACTAATTTTTGTTGAAGGGATTCGCAGTTACGAAATCCAACAATTAGCTTAACGTTAGTTATTGCAAATTGCCCAAGGATTTCGTTCCATTTCTCGTGAAACGATGTTGCGAATTTCTCCATTCCTTGACAATATGAAAAGTGAAATATCATTCCGATATCGAAATTTATTTCTTTTTCATGTATTTTATTGTCTTTTTTGAAGAAATATGCCAGGAAAATATGACGTATCTCTCGATAATTGTCTATATTTGGCCAAGTACATTTCATTTCGTTAAAGGCAATTTCATATTGTCTTTGGATAGTTCTGAATGGGTATCCATTCAATAGAAGTGAAACGGTTATATGCGTTTCTTCTTTGCTGAATTCCATTAAATTTGATGAATATCTTATTGCCCTGATGATAGCTGCCTTGGGTATGTTTCTTTTTATGAACATGGCGTGTGTGCTATCATATGGTAGAAAGTAAGGTTCATGCGATGGTTTATGTAAGACTGATGTCTGCAACACTCCGCTTAAATTGGCTATTGCGACATCTAAAAAGTTCACTGATTGTGAGATATCAGCTGTCAACTTTATATTTTCGTCTATCCTATTCCAATGCTGGACTAATCCTTCTAGCAATTCATGTGTAGTATTTGCTGCGATAAATACTAGTAAAGCTCGTCGAGGCAGACTCGCTTAGCCCTCGACTGAATGAGTAACTTTAAATGTTTTCTCTTGCTGAAACTATTCATATTAATGTAAACTTGATTATTATGTACTAGTTATAGTCCTTTTTTTACCTTATAATCCTGTAAGTCATTTTGTAAAAATTTTTAAAAAGTATTATAATTCAAATGACAGCTGAAAAGGTTTGATCCAGAACTTCGCTAATCAACTGCATAACATAAATTTATTTTATATTCAATGAAAAGAAAGAAAAATGACTAGAATAAATCAATATCAGTGTAAATATACACAAGTAACGCGATGACTACATCGCTGACCCTCTATTGAAAGGAATTGATATTAGGAAGTTTATAATGTGCATGCATGTGTTGCATAAATATGATAGTTTGCTTCTATATGGTGTACACAGATATGAGAACATTTTGACAGTAAGATAAATACTCTATTTTGAAACTAACCAGTTTCAACTGCAGTTGTCAAACAGTGAGATAGAAATGTATTTGGAGCGGTGATGTCCACACCACAGTCTCAGGCTAGCTATTATTGTGTATAATTTCCAGTGATACGATCGTCGTGCTGAGTCTTTAAAAAACCGTAACGCATCACTTGAAACTAGTCACTGAAAACGAAGTCCGATTGAGGCAATTAGCTGAATCATTAACATTACAAATTGAAAAATATCTAGTTTGGCAGTGTATAGTTACAAAAGAGGAAAACTTCTCCTTTTAGAAAAATTAAAATTTTATTTTCTTGTGAAATTGTTCAATTAATATTTTTGGAACAGGAAATAATATTTCATTACAGTTAAACTTTGAATAAATATCATATTGCAAGAAGTACATGTTCTGATTTTTATAAGAATTATAATTATTCTTTTTGAGCTTCAATCTCTAGACGAATATCCACTAAAATTAATAAGACCTAAGTCTCACATCAAACAGTTAGATTTCGTTTGTGCAAACAACTCTCCCAATCTCGGCGATATATATACACTTTCTATTTTGTTTTTAGTTCGACTTGCTGTCGACCGTTGGAACATATTCAATTTTATATATGATAAATATGTGCACAATTCAATAGCATTTTCAGAGGTTTATTTTATTTTTTGGATTATACAATAGACGTAGTCTTAGAAAAAATGAACCGCGTCAAGTTGAAACAAAAGAGGTACGAATATATAAAGTAAGGAGTACATGACTACTAGTCAAACGTCATCCCGATATATAATGCCAGTGAAAGAAGAAATCATGTACTAACATTGTAATGTTTCAAAGTTTCTTTAGCAATGGTGTCTAATCTATTCAATTCATCGAGTTGTGCTGCCGATGGTTGCACTTGCAGAGTTTCAAATTTAAAAGGACGAAGAATTAATAAATCTTCTAAACGTTTAACACGTGACAGTGGAACATAGGTCGATGCAATCTCAACTGGACCGGGTGGTACAACGAGATCAATAATAACTTTTCCAAGAGTTTGACCTTGACTCTTATGTGTTGTTATGCTGTATGCTGGTACGAGAGGAAGCGCTTTACGTTTAATGGAAATCTTTGTTGCTCGTTTGGTAAGTTTTGTAGCTTTCGACGCGTTTTCAGCTAGAAGCTCTTTTATGTCAAATTGAAAAGTTTGTTCACTAAGACATATGGGAATTATCTTTTGCCCAAGCTTAGACAACGCATGGTCAAGTTTGCAGCTCGGGAATTCTACCAAAGCATATTTCGGTTGTAATACAAATTTTGTATGTTCCGGGAAGTTGTTTTCATATAGTTGAGTGTCCTGAAGACATTCCTCATAAACAAGCTGATGAAACACGCCACGTGTTCCATTGGAAAGTCCCAATTCAGTTGCAATATTTTCGGTCAGTAAAACAGGCATACCCGGCACAAGTGGTAAATAACCTGGAAGATGCTCTGTTCTATTGTCTGGAAGCTCTAGAATAGCTTTGCGTAATCGTGGATCATCAATCATGGCACCTCTGACATAATCTTGTGCGACACATACAATGGGTGTTACTCCTAATTCAATAGTCTTGTTCAAAACAGCTCGATTATTGATTTGAGTTCGAACAGTGTTGCGAAAGACCAGTATAGGAGCCTATTATAGAATATACGATTAGACAAAAAATTAAAAGCATTTTTTAAAATATACTTCGTTCCATGGGCTTTGTCGTAGAGATGTTTTCAAATTAGGACTTCCAATAATGCGCGAACAAAGAAGTTGATAATCTTCTCTTGTCGATCGTCCACTCCTCAATCTGTTCAATAATTTTAAATATCCTACATCTTCCGTTCGCATTTGTTGCTCCAGTTTTACAACACAATTTATTTGAGACATAACTTTCTGTGCACATTGTATATCAATTTGACGATCGTTGTACTGCTGTACAGACGAACAACTT